ACAGGTGCTGCTCATTCTCTATGCCCCCTCCTTTTTTCTTTGCATTACTGATCTTCATAGCACTTAAATATATTATAATGGAATGTCTCATTTATGGGCTATTTTTCTCCTCCTTTAGAATGTGGGGCTGGAGGTTTGGTCTGCTGGCCCAGACACAGCATGACCCAGAATCAGCATTCAGTAAATATTTACGTATGAGATCAATGAATGAATCCTGGCTTGGGTAAGAAATCTTTAAGTCAGTATTCCCCATGCCTGCAGATCTGTTTTGTAATGTTAATAGATATGACCCCAGAGAAAGAATTCTGGGTGGAACAAAGTTAAATGGGTTTTCTCACTGCAGGACTCCTCATAGCATTTACTCTGTTTGTGTACATTGGGACATCGCTTATTAAGGACTAGAGTTACAATGTAACACTTCCAAAGCTCAGACCCTTTAGGTACAGCTATTTCAGACACCCTGGGGTGGGGGGAGGTGCACTCCTGCATTTCCCTCTGAGGGATCCTTGCTCTACTGGCCTGTGACAATTTATTACATATATTGTCTTTGCTGCACTTCACTGAACCTCCTTCTATTGGGCACTGATTAAGATGCGCCGATGACTGCGATGCCCCTTATCTGAGTGATCGAGCCGACAAACAATACATCAAGTGGGGACCCACTGTCATTTGCCTAACTGGGCACAGGCAGCCAGGTAAGATCATTCTGCATTTCCAAGGAAATGGAGACCAACGACACAAATCATTAAAATAATTTTTAAATATGCATGGAACCATGACTAATTTATAATTATTAAATTTATAATAATTTAAAAGAGAGAAGAGAGAAGCAAAAACATCTGCACACATATACTTAAAGTTTAAGCAAAGTGTTTCTAAGTAACATTTAGGAAACCTCTACCTCCTTATTTGATTTCATGCCTTATTAAACACTAAAAGGGAAGCAAATAGTGTAAATGAAAAACAATGGATGGCGTTGCAAAAAAAAAAAAAAAATCTCTTTCCAAAGGGTCACCAGTGCTTGTTGAAGATGGGTCTTCATAATCAAGGAAGAGCATTTAACCGATTCAGTCACCTATCACCAGAGAAACCTGCATTATATCACAGTATCCTAGCATTTCCCTGGCTCCCAAAATTTATCCACTGGGACACACACATCTCTACTGGAGACTTTTCAAGGGCCAAGCTCAGGTGGTCAGCTTGCCTCTAGAGCATTCCTTTTCTTTCTTGTTTGCAAATAATCTGGGTGGAAAGCACATGGTTGTTTTAAGGACAATAGAAAAAATATCACAGGAATAATTCGAGCCACCTTGTATGGTATGATAATGGTTGCTATGTACTTGAATATGCCATCCCATTTGGACATCAAAAACTACATATGTAAGCGGAAGTTCCCATCTTGCAGAGACCACCTGTCAAGTAGGTGGAGGAGTCAGGATTCCAGAGCAGGTGTGGGTGCCCAAGTAGACACTTAGTCCACTATCTCTCCCTGTCTCTTGAGACCAGATAGCTTTGTGAAAGCCTTATAACCAAATGCCATAAGCTTTCTAGCCTGTTCCAGATGAGTGACTCATGAACTCTGGAGTTTAACTGTTACAAAGTTAGCATATTTAGCATGAACTGTATCAAGAGATCTAAAAAGAAATTGATGCTATTCAAATATATATCCCACCCCAAGGAGATATATTAAGTCTTTCATTGGATGGTGTACCTTCAGTTCAATTTAAAAATTCCTACTTAGATTCTGTGTGCCAAGGACCATGAGGACTGTGCCAGTGCCGTGTTTACAATGACAAAAAGGGTGTGGTCTTTGCCCAGAAGGTGTTTTCCGTCTCATGAGGGAATCAAGATGTTAAAGTGATCAATTCCATTATGTCTGTTTAAAAGTAAAGCAAGAGATACATAGAGGAGGGTACTACACATAGAAAAAGAGATTTCTGCATGGCCTGGAATAATAAAATGGAGGGGCTTGTAAATGAGAGGTTTTGAGCAGAATCCTCAAGGATGATGGGAAAGGGAAGGGGACAACCCAGACACAAAAGCCTTGCAACAGGTCCTTCTCTATACTTGTTGAAGGAATAGCACCCCAGACAGAAGGGCAAGAGGAAGGAGGAAGGGAGGCAGGGGGGCTCCAGTGAGTTTATCTCACACAGCTGGACGACAGAGTCCCTGTCTGAGACAGGATGTGGGAAGGGAATCTTCAATCCAGTCCCCCATCCCCTCACCCCCCATAGGCAAGGCTCTGGATAAAAAGCAGGACCAGAGTAAAAATATTTAAGATAAGTGTATTGCCTTTAATCTGCCTCTGTCCACAACACAGCTGGTTGCCCAAGAGGGGACATGGGGTACATGCTGGACCCCTTAATTTCTCTCCCTCAGACGCCGAACAAAGCAGCACTGAAAGACTGAGTCTGTTGGCTGGGATGAGCAGTTTTCAGGGAGAATTTTCTTCGAAGTCAGTGCTACGGCAAGGTAGTCACATGCCAGGCATGTGAGTAGTGTGGGACAGCCATGAGTAGTGGGATAAACTCATCCTTGTGGTGAGAAGCAAGAGAAGAAGGCCGACAAAGAAAGCAGAACAGAGATGGAGACGGCCATCACACGGCTCCATGGGGTGTCGGGGGGCAGCTTCCTCTTTGCCCCGGGAACTTACAGGCTTTGTCTCAGCATATGATATGAAATGTTTTTCTTACAACAGACTCCCCCTGTCTGGGGTTAGTTGGAGTGGATCTGTGTCTCTTGCACTGAAGTATATACTAAGGTGGGGGACACGAGGTCACTTTTTGGACATATTTAACTCTGAGGTGCTTGTGGATGGAGAGGGCAACAGGCAGTCCCAGAGATTAGGAGAGACTTACCGGCTACAGAGAAAGATACGGGAGTATCTGCTCTTTCCAAACCCTCCATTGTCTCTCCATTTCTAAGCCATTTCTGTTTTTTCTGCCCCCTGTGAAGCGCTATTAGGGATGAGAGACAACTGTGTTCCTCTGACCAGCCATGTGAAAAAAATGCAGTAATGATCCTTCTGTGCTGGTATCACAGAACCGTTATAAGGATGAAACGTCATCTGAAGGTTTAGAAAAGAGAGGGGTGCCTAGGTGGCTCAGCGAGTGACGTGTCTGACTCTTGATTTTGGCTCAGGTCATGATCTCTGCATTGTGAGGTCTAGCCCTGCATCAGGCTCTGGGCTCAGCACAGAGTCTGCTTAAGATTCTCTCCCCATCTCCCTCTGCCCCTACACAGCCCCCCACCCCCCCCCCTGCCCCCCCCCTTAAAAAAAAAAAAAAAAAAAAAAAGACTTAGAAAAGAGAAAAGACCTACAGAACCCATAGAAGGCAACAGCCTCATCACCCACCGGCAGCAAATAAGGAGAGAAAAGTCCTATGAAAGCGGGACAATTACCTGGAATTGTGTTCCAGGAGCCTGAAAGCAGTGCCCTGAGTGCTTTCAATGGGCTTCTGCTGCACTCAGCTCAGTTACAGAAGGGACTGTTTGTTTCTGGAAGCTGAAGCTGATGGAAGAAGTACTTGAGAACTCATGGTTCATTCCATGCACCCAGAGCCCATCAAAGGAAAACACTCAAAATCCACAAGCACTCATGGGCAGAAAGCAGGGGGAATGAAGTCATCATTAAAATGTATTTATATCTCCTGAACCGTAGTTCAGACCAGGAAGACCATCGGGACTACATCTCACCTTGGTCATTGCCGTCCACGTACTTGTTCACCTCCCCAAGCAGAAGGCAATGGTATCAAGGAAGATGGGCTCTAATACCAAGAGATCCTCGGGAGCTGGAGTCTTTGTGCCCAGGGGTGGGGTGCAAGGTTGAAGATGGTGAAGAAGGAAAGAGGACAGAGAGGATAGCCCAGATCCAAAGTCTATTTTGGAATAGCTCCTGATCAAAGGTGCAGCTTTTTCCTGACTTTGAGGGGTTGCTGGGGCCTGAGGCTACTGCCTGTGGTCCCCTGAGACCCTCCCCTGAAGGCAGTAGATCCTGCCTGAAGTGAGAATGACATATTCAGGAAAACTAGCCAGAAGCCTCCGGACTTCTTTAAGTCTCAGTTTCATCTACGACCATACCACCCTGAACGTGCCCGATCTTGTCTAAGTCTCAGTTTCACTCATTTATCAAACAGAGAGAATAATGCTCACCTTGCAGGACTGATGTGGACTGAATGAGATGATAATGTGAAAGTTGAATGAAAACTATAAAGCTCCCCCACTCCCCAGCTTGACTCCTCCCCACCCCCAGCTTGACTATTGCCTGATTATTCTCCTATGCGAGTTGACGTCTCTCCTTTCAATGACAGGATATTTAAAAAAAAGCATTTGTTGGTGGGTGACTGAAAACCATAAGCGTCATGACCGATGCACAAACCACACAGGCCAAGTGGCCGGGGAACGCCAGTAGGCCGCCATGACTCTGTACCACATCTTACCTACATCTGCCCTTGAAGCTTTGTCTGACTTTCATATTCCTGGGTCTAATTCTCTAGGTTTATGGTTTTCCTTTGTTCCAATTGTAGCCCATATATGGAAATACTACGCCACGTAAAATCCAGTGTAGAAATATAAGGAAATATTTGCCAAAGCAGCATGTCCATCAGAACCGTCAACTTAAATCAACTACAATGACAAAATTCAAAACAAAAGCAAAGACACCACAAAAGCATACTCTATGGGGTATTATTTCCTGAATAAATGACATTTTTGTGGCTACTGCCAATCATCCCAGTTTATGACAGAGGAATCCTCTTTCTCCTTAACATGTACTTGAATGATGCTTACTATTATCTCCAAACTTCACTTTTCCAATATAAAGTTCACAAGTTTTTATCTTCATCTTTTACCAAATCTCTTCATCACTTGATTAAAGATTCCCTTCTGGTAAAACAAAAGGTTCCTGCTTTAGAAATGCATTTAAACACAGGACATCTCATAAAAAATAAAGACAAATATTATCATTCAGCTTTAAAATGTTTAGAAGTTAGCAACCCCACCTCTGTTTCAGTACTCTTTGGTCGATTAGTCCATTTTCAAGGTTTTCAGCTGCATAGAAAGATGGTGTCTGCTGCCCACAGTTGGCTGGACTAGGGAATTGTTCATCCCTGTCACCAAGAAAGAAGAGTTGGGTTAGGAGCTGTTCAACAGGAGCCACAGCTGTTGAATCTCATGGCTGCTCTGAGGGTAGAAGACAGCCCACAGTGACACCATAATCTGTGTCTACCTTCCAGCTCCATGTTAAGGTTATAACTAAGAGAACAGAAAAGAAAGGACACTCTGGAGTCATCTCACACAGTGGTTCATACATGCCGGGATGCAGACTGATACCTGCTCACAATGCTGTTTGCTCCAATTGGTCATATTATAAATGGTGTTATGGCAATCCTTTCTTCTTTGAAATGATGGTGATAATAGAATGTTATCTTTAGGGTGCCAGGGTGGCTCAGTTGGTTAAGCAACTGCCTTTGGTTCAGGTCATGATGCCAGAGTCCTGGGATCGAGTCCCACATCGGGCTCCCCCCTCTGTGGGGAGTCTACTTCTTCCTCTGACCTTCTCCCCTCTCATGCTCTCTCTCACTGTCTCTCTCTCAAATAAATAAATAAAATATATTTTAAAATGTTATCTTTATTGGTTAGTATCCCTATTCTGCCAAAAAAACAAAGTAATTAGCTCTACATCAGATTCCTTCTCCAGTCCCTGCCATTTTGGGGGGTGGGGGGAATGTCTCTTCTCTGTGGAATCCAATACCCTTAGAACCACAGTCCACTAACTGCCTCCCTTTACAGCTGGTATGGCTGAAGCCCAGAAGGAAAAGCAAGTTGCTCACAACCTCAGGCTCCTCAGGAGCGGTGCCAGGAGTTGACCTCAGTCTTCTGACTTTCTTTGATTTCTCTACCAGCTGCAGCAACAACAGCAACCGAAAAGCAACTGCAAATACTCCCACCTATTACACGTTCCTGTGATTTGCTCAAGTTGGAATAGGATGCCAAATACTCTGGCCAGATGTGGCCTGCAAATACCTTTCAAAAGAACATACCGGCAACCATTAGCCATTAAAAGAAGTCTGCACTCGAGTTGAAACCCATCTGCAATCTCTGATCCAGAATGCCATTATCGACTCTTTAGAAGGAGTCTTAAGCATCGTTTAGTCTACCTATTTCATTTTGCAGTTGAAACTAAAAAAAGCCAAGCAAATCTCCAAGGTTAAATGAGTAGCTATCATCAGAAGAAAGGTTTGAAATCAAGTGTTTTGAAACCTAGCTTCAGGGTTCTGGTTACTACGCCCAGTTTCCTATCTTTAGTAAGCACTTCCTGAAAGGGTTTAATTAAATAGCATATTCTCATGCAACAATATATTTGTCACATGACAACATATTATTTGACAATAAGCAAATATAACCAATAAGCACTTAAACCAAGTATAACCAATAACCCCACCTGCAACTGTGGCTTTGTACCAGATTAATTTAACCAATCCTTAAAGTGGTTAAGCTCTTTACCACGTAGAGTGAAAAGCCCCTGCTCATCAATTCCTGGATTACCAATGTTTCAAGTCTTGGCTACACTTGCAAATGGCTTTCTTTACCAGGGTAACAAAGCTTCGAATTTAACATGAGACTGCTTTGAAGGAGGAAAGATTTTCTCAAAGCTTATGATCCAACCAATATCAGTGTGAATTAACATGAAGTTAGGTACTGTATCACTTTTCGCAACCTACAGATGAAGCAACAGGAATGTCAACATTTAACATAATCAGTCCAAGGTGTCGTAGAACCAGGAATGCAGCCCAGATTTCCTGGCAGTCCAGCTCGTTCTCATTTACTGGAGAACACTGTAAACTGATCCGCAGTGGAAACAAGGCTGTCTGTTTTCTTCCAAGCTGTGCCTCAGGCAATATCAAGATTCTAGTCAACTGAGGGGAACTTCCAACTTAGAAGTCCAACCCATCCAAGAATGCTGGGAAATTACTTTAAGGTTCACACCCACCCTTTGCTGGAATGGCGTAAAAGCATGCTATGGGAACTGCATCAGAAGTCACATACTGAAGAGTGTGATTTTTACACAGATATGTCAAAACAATGTTTAGGAGAAATCCTTGAAATAAATCAGAGGATAGAATCTTCAGAGCAATCACGGACCACTCCTTTGAGACCACCTGCCCCACTCTGTGTTCTAAATACCCAAATATCCTAGAAATTAAATTACTGAGGCCAAGTCTCTTTAACCTTGTATTGCTTATCAAAGAGCAAGGCAACAATTATTACAGATTTAATCTGAAAAACTAAAGACACAGAATAGATTTCATCGAACACCATAGTCTTACTTTAAAAATTAATGAATAATAGATCTGTGGCAATTATTTAATCTTTGAAACTTGGCAAAAATTCTCAAATACAGAAAAACCAAGTCAGAATGCTTGAAACGATCCTGGGGCATATAGATTTGTAAAGTGAACATTTTAATTTGGTAACTCCAGCTATCACTTCTTTCCATTGCAGAAGTCAGTGATAAAAACAAAACAAAACAAAAACAACCAAAAAAAAAAAAAAACCAAAAAAAAAAAAACCATCCCTGAATCTCAAAGGCACCACCAATTCTTCGACGTGATTTCTATGGGATGTGATCATAGCATTCAGGATTCGAAGAATATCCCTGAGAAATTAGAAAACTCATTGTGGCAAGAGTCTTCAGCAAATGATACTGCGAAAGCCTCTAGAGAAGAATATAAATTACTTACTATAAGAAATTCTTGGCAAATACATACATGAATAAATAAACAGTTCTGGGGAAAAGCAAAGGAGCAGTAAAAGATGCCTTTCCTAAAACCTGATTTTAAAAAAACCCCAAACTGCAGGAGTCCCTTTGCACTGGTGTTCTATGTACACTCCAACCGCCTGCTACAGAGCTTTCTATGTAGGAACTCCCAGTTCATGGGACTTCCCTAACAACTGGGGTCATTGTTCAAAAAGCAGTGTATTAAAAAAATAAAAGAAAAGATGTAGATTGATTCACGAAACTTTGCAAAAGTGTCCTTAACGAAGATATTAGAAATACTGTGCCTACAAATTCGCTGAAAGTGGTCACAGTTTTCAAAGCATTTTAACCCCCACATGTCATGCTCTAGTCCACATCGAGAAAGCACAGCATCAAAACTAAGATCATTCAAGAACAGACTTACTCAGGGGCTGCTCCTGCTTGAGCGAGGGGGGCTGTTTCTCTAGGGCTCCCAAGGGGCTCCAGTCTTTGACTCTTCTGCTTATATTTTTTAATTAAATCCATCAGAACAGCCTGGTGCCCAATTTTCTTCACCAGTTGCTGAACCATCCGATCATTAAGAGCTAGAAGAGCGGCCCCACTTACTTCTTCCTCTGGGAAAAAGAAAAATAAATGTCTCCACATGCTTGTCCAGTCCACACACACACAAAACTCTGAACAGGCAAAGTCACTTCTGGTGTTAAAAGGATCATCTAAACTTGCCCTCTTAAGTTACAAAATTATCTCTCTTGACAAAGAAAGAACACTGACACCTTATCATTCCCAATAGCTGTCTGCTCCTAGGAAAGTATCAGAACATGGAGTCACAAAGAAACTTTTTGCTTCCCCAGGGGGCCTCCCCACTTCCGATTATTCTCTGTAAGAGGCACTGTTTTTATAAGAAAAAAGGTTTCTCTGAAAATCCTTCTTAATAGTAACTCCCAGGCAATATCCAATACTTGTAAATCCAACACTGATCAGAGCACAGGCTGCCTTCTTTAAGGACAAAAGCGGTATCAAATGCCAATAGCCAAGGTGTATTTTGACTAGCTCTTCCTACTTGGCTTTATTTCAATTCTTTTTCGAATATTACATCCTCCTCTGGATGTTAGGTACAGTCAGTAAAGAAAGAGAAGTTCCCCAAAGTAGCAACTCCGCACCCACATTCGCATGCATTAGGCAACAAGAGTAACTAATTACCAGTAACAGAGGACACTCAATAACTAGGCTACCCTGTTAATATTTTTTTCAAAGTGTAAACAACTCACCTTGAAACCTATGAACTAGCTCTCCTAAGTTTTTCTCCACCAACCAACTGCAGACCTGACCAACTGACCAGGTTTCCATGGCTGTGTCCTGTAAATACACCTGTAGAATGAGAGGTCAGAGAAGGATTCTTCCGTTTTTCTCTGGGATTGTTGTTCTTTTATTTTTTGTTTTTTGTTTTTTCCCCAATCGGCTCTCTAATCTCAGCTCCTCCCTTTGCCAGACTCTTTGAGACTCTCAACACAAAGCTTCTTTAAAATTACTCTTTCCCGAATACACATCTAAAAGTTGCTAATAAAACAAATACTCTTTTAAAAAATGAGACCGGTTGGAACCTATTTCCTAGTCTCCTTTCTCGAATGTCTTCACCTTCTCCGACTTTTTTTTCCACAGGCATCCCTCAGCTTTACTAACAGCCCGCCAAAGCAGTACAATGGTACCCAATCCTGTACCATTAACACCCAGGTCTCCTCACAAAGAAAAGAAAGGTGTGAAATTCACCACTACTAGGCTCATCAGGAAGTGGTTGACATTTACAAAAGGGGTGGGCAGGGGAGGAAGGGAGGAAGGATCAGATAAAAGCCTGAAGGAGATACTTAGTAAACCAAGACTGTTTAACCCCTTGTGGCTCCCAGCTAGGAAAGACAGCTTGTCCTCCTGATTACTTTGGTTTAACAAGGGGTTGAAGTACCAAGCAGATTTCTCAAGAGAATCTGAATGTTTCTTTCCTTCCTTCTGTTAATACCCTTTATATTCTATTCAGTCCTAGAACTTTATTAAACAGCATTATGATTGGTAAGATAACTAGGAAAAAGAAGCACGTTGATTGAAAACTTTAAAAGAATGGAGTTGGGCAAATTTAAAATGGGAAGATAAATATGTTAATAATCGTTAAGTGAACGATGTGTATACAAAGCTGGCAAGATATGTTCTTCAACTATTCAGTTATTTTTACATGCCATTATTCTTCTGCAACTGCTTAGAAAATTTTAACAGGTGTATCAATTTAAGGATGCCTTGCTGGCTCAGTTGGTTAAGCATCTGTCTTCAGCTCAGGTCATGATCCCAGGGTCCTGGGATCAAGTCCCACATGGGGCTCTTTGCTCCGCAGGGAGCCTGCTGCTCCCCCTGCTTGTGCTCTCTCTCTCTTTCTCTCTGACAAATAAATAAATATAATCTTTTTTAAAAAGCATATCAATTTCAGTAATTTTTAAAATTTCTCTTAGTATCTCAGTCCCTGTTTTTTATAATTCCATCCAAATTACTTTAAATGGACCAGGGAGGAACTGAAAAAACCAAACCAAACCAAAACAAAACAAAACATTTTCATCTTTTAGCATTACTTTTTATTTCATCCTTTAAACGATGCAGATTTACTTGTACATCGAGACGCTGACTCTTCTATGAAAACAGCACAAAGCTACTCTTAAAGAAATGGAACCATAAGGAAAGATACAGATATTTATTAGATTGTGTATTTAAATTTTATTGCCAGAAGTTCTCAAAATTATTATTATTGTGTTTTTCGTTTTTGCGGATTTGAGTCCGTTAGAATTTCCAGCATCACAGTTGGCATGGTGGGGAAGGAAACATGTTTACCTTTCAGACTGCAACCATCTGAGAAGATAGCGGTCTTCAAAATCCATTTCCTCGAAAACAAGTCCACTTCAAAGTAATAAGCTACATTCTCATATGCATTCACAAACACCAAGCTGCAAAACTGAAAACAAGGGTTAAACACAGAAGACTAGCTTGTTGAATTACAGCAGTGGATTTAATTTGCTAAGACAACAGTAGCCACAGAACTCCTCCCTTAGGCTAAGCTGCAATAGCACCGTGTGAAAAGTCATTATTTGCAAGACTCTGGTGTAAATTAAAAATCACACCTTCCTGTCACACTTCTGGCTTCCTTGTGAAAAGTAAGACTTTAAAAAAATAATAGAAAAGAAAAGAAAAAAAAACTCACAATACTCTAAACTCCAAGATTAAAAGGTATGCAGAGCAGAAGATACCGCCCTGAGGCCATCAATGGATAAAAGGAAATTTGAAAATAAAATAAGTACTTGGAAACCATCTCGTATTTTTAAACTCCCAGATATTTACCTAATTCTACTTCCAGAAAAAACAAAACAGTTATCAAATTATAACTTCATACGTACATAATCAGATTAAAGAAGTGTAGTTTTGACCACTAGTTTTTCTGAGTATTTAAGAAAATAAAATAATATCACTTCCAAGACAAGGTAACATCTTTAAGCAGCAACCTTGCATCTTCCTCTCACATAAATAATGGATATATTATTTATGACCTTAAACTTCATACAGGAACAGAAGACATGTTAAATGAGAATATATGTATCCAGCAGCTTTACTGCGTATCCAGCAGTTTTAGAAACATCTGAAGTAATTTTGAAATGTGAGAGCAAGTACGATCCCTAAATATTTTAAGGCACAATAATAAAGAGAGAATGACATAAGAACGTTATGTGTGAATACTCCAGCCAAAGCATTTTCATTATTTGATTAGATTGTGCTTTAATAAAATAAATTTGTAGTAAATATTAAAGGATCACATCTAATTAAAGCCAGGAAGAGATAAGATTTCAGCTAAAGCAGCTTAAGGGCAAATTTTATTTAATAAATTTGTTAAAGCTCCAAAAAGGAAGATAGTACCAGCTGCCATGAATGTGGTTTATAATCTTCAAGGGTGATGTGGCATATAACACCATCAACCACAAATAAGCACTTTTAAAGAAAAATATGAGGGGCGCCTGGGTGGCTCAGTCATTAAACCTCAGCCTTCGGTTCATGCCATGATCCCAAGGTCTTGGGATTGAGCCCTGCATCAGCTCCCTGCTCTGTGGGAAGCCTGCTTCTCCCTCTCCAACTCCCCTCGTTTGTGTTCCCTCTCTTGCTGTGTATTTTTCTGTCAAATGAATAAATAAAATCTTTTTAAAAAATAAATAATAAATAAATAATTTTTAAAAATATGAAAACATCTTTTCGCTTTTCTTGCTGTTCGCATTTTTTTTCTTTTCCCATCCCAAAGCTGAGGCAATGGAAGGGTTTTTAAAAGCTTTGCTGTGGCATTAAGTCCTTTCCTGGACCAACACCCCTTTGCTTCCCTGCAAAAGATGGCAAAGGACATCTCTTACCGTGGGTGTACTTGAAGAAAGAAGACATTTAGCAAAATATCAGATCCTATTAGTGAAAAAGAAGGAGGGGGTAGGTACAAAAAAACAGGTATATGGTAGTCACATGGAGCAACGTCCAGGTAGTTCTGTCCGGAGCAGCCCTGCTACTGCAGGAAGCGATGACGTCATTATACTCCAGTGAAGCGAATCACGTCATCCACTTTGGGGCATTGTTCATTCCAACCATCACCTGACCAGCATGTATAAAAACTGGAATAGTTAACTAGAATACCTTGTCTGCCTTTGTCATCAAAATGTCTGCTGTGTAGGTAGCTCAGAGCTAGGTGAATGGTAATAAGGAAGTTAGAAGCCTTACCAAGAACATAAGACGTGTCCATAAGCAGAATATAATATATGACAGGCGCTGTAAAAAGCACTCTGGGCTGGATTTCCCCACTCTCTGGAAATGGATTGAATGGATCTTAAGTTGGAATCTAAACAAAAAATACAGTTCAGGGGTGCCTGGGTGGCTCAGTGGGTTAAAGCCTCTGCCTTCAGCTCAGGTCATGATGCCAGGATCGAGCCCCGCATCCAGCTCTCTGCTCGGCATGGAGCCTGCTTCCCCCTCTCTCTCTGCCTGCCTCTCTGCCTACTTGCGATCTCTGTCTGACTCGTGATCTCTGTCTGTGAAATAAATAAATAAATCTAAAAAAAAAAAAAATACAGCCCAGATAGTGAAAGAGGCAGAGAAGGGGAATCAACAGAACACACTAAAAGTAAAAAGCCAGCAAAAAACAAGTCATGTTTGAGGACCTCTTGGTGCACAGGACGGTCTGGAGTGGCCAGAGTAGACAGGCTCTGAAAGATCACTGGAGAGCTGGGAATCCTGTACCGCAGCTTACCGATGCACGTCAGCTTGGGGAAGTCTTTGACTTGGTCGCTTATTCCATGCTTTAGAGGGATTATTTACAAAGCCGAGCAAGATAAATTACAGGAAAGGGTGTTCTTTCTTGAAGTAAATTGTGTATGACAAGGAAGGGTTTAATAAACATTCTGACATACACCAATTTTCCTTCATTTTAAAAAGACAGATGTTTTTATTGTCTCTCAAAAAATTATGGAAATAGGGGCGCCTGGGTGGCTCAGTGGGTTAAGCCGCTGCCTTCGGCTCAGGTCATGATCTCAGTGTCCTGGGATCGAGCCCCGCATCGGGCTCTCTGCTCAGCGGGGAGCCTGCTTCCTCCTCTCTCTCTGCCTGCCTCTCTGCCTGCTTGTGATCTCTCTGTCAAATAAATAAATAAAATCTTTAAAAAAAAAAAAATTATGGAAATAGGGGCACCTGGATGGTGCAGTTAGTTAAGTGCCCCACTCTTGGTTTCAGTTCAGGTCATGATCTCAGGGTGCCGAGATTGAGCCCCACCTCAGCTCTGCACTCAGTGTGGAGTCTGCTTGGAATTCTTTCTGTCTCTCCCACGTGAGCTTTCTCTCTCTATCTCTCTGAAATAAATAAATAAAACTTTTTAAAAAATTACGGAAATGAAACTTTTAATTTTTCCATAAATCCCTGACAAAAACAGACTGAGATCTACACAGTTAGCTGACACCTAGCCAGTGAAATACATCAACAGGGGTTCTATAGACATTAAGCAGAACCATATGAAATTGACGTTTTTGTACCTACAAAAGTCTCAGATCAGTAATTTCTTATGGTTGAACTTACCGACTAAAATCTTGATTTTCTGAAAACTACTAAGTCTTTCTGGGTTTCTTGTGACCAGCAAAACTTACCAGAGGCATCTGTAATCCACACCACCCCCAAGAAATCTGAGGGAGAGGAGAAGTGGGGAACACAGTAATAGTAACTTAAACTTTATATTTCTACATTTATAAAGAAACTAAGAGCAATTTATCTGGGAGGTTAATCAAACTAATGAAAACAATAGCAAT